CCCCCCCCCCCCCCCCCCGCCCTCCCCCCGGAGAGGTCTGAATTTTTTTTGTCGGGTAGGTGTTGGAAAAAAGTGTGCCCTTGCCCTGCCATCGTAGGTGCGGACCATGCCACCGCCTGACAAGGTGGGCCGATAAGAAAAAAGTGATTTGTTTTGTTCTTTGCAAGAAACAATAAATAAAAAAAGCAGCGAAGCAACCAAAAACCACCAACCAATCACGGGGTGGGTGTCGAGAGTTCAGCTGTTACCAACCTGTGATTTGTCGAAGACTCTGAACCACCTCTCCAGCTGGTCGGCGTACAACCCTCTGAAGAGCGGGTGGTGCCGGCGCTGGGCCCTGCTGCACTTCCTGAGGTCCATCGCGGTTGCTTTTTCTCCCCGGCATAGGGGCGTGTAGGGCTCATATGTCGCTTCCGCCTGAGTGGCAGCAGCAACAGCCGACCGGGGGGGGGGGGGNTCGCTTACCCCTACTAGGGATCATGAAAAAGTGGCAGCGTCAGCAGCAGCAGCAGCAGCCGACGGGGGGGGGTCAACTTGCTTTGGTGTGTGTTTGTTTGTCTCTGTCGGCCTGTGCAGTTCTTCAAGCTCCACCATCGACCGCGCCATCCGGCTGACAAAACGATACAAAAAATGTATCAGCCAAGCCAACGGGGCGAAAAACGCCAGGACGAGGCAGGCGTGATTTTTTCGTCTCTCGCGGACTTGTTGCACGTTCTCGTACATAAAAAATACAAACAACGTTGTATCTCAAGGTTTCGCACACCACAAGAGGACTGACTGGAACTCACCCCGTCGATGTAGCCAGCGGCATCACCGGGGGAGTGGAACCAGGCTGCTTCTTTCACGCCCTCGAAGGTCTGGTTGGCCTTGCCGGAACACATCGTCATGCGCAACTGTGAAAAATATCTGGTTTTCATTCGCAGCGTGCGGAGAACACAAGCATCACACCAGCAAAAGAGCGCGGGGTTGTTGGAGGAGCAGCAGCTGCGAGACGTGCAGGAAAAAACATGCGTCGTCTGGTGCTTGGTTGGAATGTCGCCCAACCTCCTCGTCGTTTGCTGCGTCACGCGTGTCTAGCAAAGGGAGCGACTTCGCAACAGTTTGGAAGTGTGGATACTGCGCGACAGCGCCTGTACCGACTCCGTTGCGTGCCGAACCATCCGGGGCACGAGAGAGCAACAAACAAAAAACAACAACTCGAGGTGTGACACGCTTTGGGACCAAGCCTCATGTTAACATCTTCTTCTGCCACACGTTTTGCTGCGCTCGATTCTCAGCACAGTCTGTGAAGAAGAGCATCGTAACTTGGGCTCTAGCAACCACAATCATCGGATCCCAAGGGGTACCCTAAACGATCAACAAAAAACACAGAAATAATCAGGTTCTTTCCAGTCACCGGTGGCTGTCAAACGGCTTGATTATGGCTGCGAACGGGCGCAGTTAGAGACACACAGGTTCGCGGCTATAGGGCGAGTGAGTGTCGAAGCTAAGCGAGCCGCGTTGTTCGTGCAGACAAACTCGTCGCACCTATCTGTCGGGTCCCTCAGCACGAGCACGAGCCTCGCGAAAGGCTGCACCATGCCCATTCTGTATGGGGCCAGTGGGTTGAAGATGTACGTCGGCGACGACTCCACCGTCACCTTGCCAGGCATGGCATTCGACCTGACCTGCATTCATTGATATAATTGCAAGGTCGTCAGTTCACACGCAACGTGGTTCTCAATTCTGCGGCAGAAAACGGCCCACCCTTGCCGAGGGCGGCTTCCAGCTGCTACTGTGGGCGGTGCAGGGGAACTCGAGCATGCTTCGGCGCTTTGCATTTGGATATCAAGGGAAACATGGGCACGTGTCGTGAAACCGCCATCGACGACAAATATCAACCTGCTGCGACACACGGAAGGTTGAATGACTGAAGCACGACGGCCTCGGGGGGGGGAAAGGTGCGGGCAGCCGTGAGTTGAAACGTATGTGCGGGACGATTCACTCTCGTTTCCCACAACGGCGCCGGGCTGATCCCGAAACCACCTCCGTCAGCTCGGTTGTCATTTTGTTGCGGCGATTTGCGCAAGGTAACGTCGGGATTAGAATACCAGTGGTTGTGTTCGTTCCCGATTCCGTTTGGGGTGATAGTGATCGACAGGCCGCTGTTCCTTTCCTACGTATCCGTATCTTGTGGTTGCGGTTCTTTGCGCTTCGGCGAGACGCAAACGTCGTTTTGGGTGTTGTGTGCTCAGCTGCCGCCGTTTTCATGTCTGTTTTGTCTTGTCTCTGTCTGTCCCCTCTCCCTCTCCGCCTGAGTCTTCAGACTGCCCCCCCCTCCCCTCTCGCTACTCGCTCATGTCAATGCTGCTTGCTCCTTGAGAAGCACGAGCGCTACCACGGAACGCTAACAAATCTTTTTCAGGGGATCGATTTTGGTGCGTGTATACGACCCAGCAGAAAATGCCCTACATTTCGCTCGGCGTGCACCACAAGGCCCTTACCGTGCTCATGGACACATTGGCGTACTCCTCCAGCACGTGACCAGCCACCGCCGGCGATAGCTGCTCCTCCCTACCGTCCCCTGGCCACGCGCCTAACCGCGGGTACCTGGTGTCCAGCCGAGCGACCGGTATTCAGGGGGGCTACGGTACAGAGAGGAGGCGGGGGCGCGTGAGGTGACGCGGTGATGATGCACCCTCCAACCCCGAAAGAATAAGGGACTCTTGAGCCACATTTGGCATAGCAGGAACTAACGATTGGCCGTCGGTGATCTTCGGTCCTGTGGCAATAATGCTCCGTCCTCTCGAGGACGTGTAGTCAATGCTCAAAAGCTGAGGCATGAAAAACATGAGTATATCCCCCCCGTGCTTCCTGGTCAAGGAACACTTGTTTGACGTGGTGGAAGTAGTGGTGAAAACGGAGTTCGAGGAAAGCCCATGGCTTACGATACCTGGGGAGCGGGGTGAGAAAGATTTGTTTCTAGGGAACGTATACGTCCCACCGTCGTCGAAGAAAGTCGCAAGCAAGGCGCAGGAGAACTTTGGACAAATTGGGGAAGATGTCCAGAGGTTCAGTAGGAAGGGAGAAGTTGTCATGGTGGGCGATTTCAACTCCAGAGTAGGGAAAGCTTCCAGTAGAGGACAGGCGATCGGGCAGCACGGAGAAGACAAAGTGAATGACAACGGAGTGAGGATGCTTGAATTCTTGGGAAGCAACGAACTGATGGTGTTGAACGGTAGGAGGGAATGCGATAAGCCGGAGTTCACCAGGCAACGGGCAGTTGGCAATGAATACTCGAACCTCGACTACATGCTGGTAGTAGGGGGAGCACACAGATCCCAGAGCTGCACGTAAGTGCGATAGATATAGGTTCGACCGACCACTTCCTCATATGGGCAAACATCGATCGATCTGGAAAGATGGAGAGTACGAAACAGAGGGAAGTGTTGCGGTGGAAAGTAGAGCGTTTGGGAGACGAGGGCACACGGGATGAATTCCAGAAGGGACTGGCTGGAAGTGTAGACTAGAACCCTTCAGGAAACTGCTGAGAAGCGTCGAAGACGGACAGGTACAAGCAGCAGGGGACAGGGTGATTGAAGGGTGGGAGTCCATCATGAACGCAACGGCAGAGATAGTAGTGGGAAGACGGTGGTACGATGTAGGGTATCGGTTTAGTGGTGGGATGACGAGCTGAAAGAAGAAATAGGGGAACGTAGAGAAGTCTTCAAGCAGT